TCAGGTATCATGTTTTCTAAACACTCTCTTAGCTAGCTTGGAGAATATTTTGTGTTATTCATGGCCCTAATGAAGCTATTTATTGATCTAATGTGCTCCTTAATTAGCGATGTGAGGTGTAATACCATTTTCAATTGCAAAAATAAGTGTCTTTTGCAAAGGTACCACTTATTTTCCAAAGGTTCCACGTTTTTGAATTAAAGGTACCACTTTTCGGCGTCCAGGTACAATGTTTTCTAAACACTCGCTTAGGTAGCTTGGAGAATATTTTGTGTTATTCATGACCCTAATGGAGCTGTTTATAGATGTAATGTGCAACCTAATTAGTGGTGTGGGGTTTAATACCATTTTTAATTGGAAAAATAAGTCCCTTTGGAAAGGCGTCCAGGTACCATGTTTTTTAAACACTCGCTTTTTGCAATTGAAAATGGTATTACACTAGGGCCTCTACAGCTGCCTAATCCTTTTCCGTTCCAAAAGAAAACTCTGCATTGGATTTTCATGAATTAGTATTGTATGGCTTATTATACTAGGGCCTCACTGAATTTTCTTCGACTATTACATGGTACCTGGAGGCCAAAAAGTGGCACCTTCAGTTAAAAAACGTGGTACCTTGGCAAAAAGGACTTATCAATTTTCTACTCCAATTGACCATTCATCAATGTTCCAAAATAGGAACTAAATCCATTTGTCAAGAAAATCATCAATTTCCTAGCACTGCTGTTGAAAAATTTATAAATTTTCTTATTAAATAGAAGAGCCTAACATGTCTTTATTAAACAGAACAACCAAAATCCATTACTTTTCATTAAATCAAAACCATCAAGTCAAATACCATGTCTACAAAATACTTTAAGTCACCACGAATAATGTCAAAAAAGTTATCATCCATCCAATCTAATAAAGTCAACAAGAAATAAAAAAACTAAATCACTAAATTTAAAGGAAGCAATCATCTTTTGCAAAATAAGAATACAATTATTAAGTTTGAACATTTATTAGCCCCCACTCGTCCATACGAAGTCTTGATTGCAATATTAGCCCCCACTTATTTATACAAAGTCTTGATGGCAAGAATCGATTCTCCAATCACACTGTCAAAAAAAAAAAAAAAAAAAAAAAAAAAGGGTTACTACATTTAATTGTATCACATTAACGAAAACATTGTACCTGGACGCCGAAAAGTGGTACCTTTAATTCAAAAACGTGGAACCTTTGGAAAATAAGTGGTACCTTTGCAAAAGACACTTATTTTTGCAATTGAAAATGGTATTACACCTCACATCGCTAATTAAGGAGCACATTAGATCAATAAATAGCTTCATTAGGGCCATGAATAACACAAAATATTCTCCAAGCTAGCTAAGAGAGTGTTTAGAAAACATGATACCTGAACGCTGAAAAGTGGTACATTTAGTTCAAAAATGTGGTACCTTTGGAAAATAAGTGGTACCTTCGCAAAAGGCACTTATTTTGTAATTTTTCGAAGGTACCACTTATTTTCCAAAGGTACCACGTTTTTGAACTAAAGGTACCACTTTTCGGTGTCCAGGTACTATGTTTTCTAAACACTCGCTTAGCTAGTTTGGAGAATATTTTGTGTTATTCATAACCCTAATAGAGCTATTTATTGATCTAATGTGCTCCTTAATTAGCGATGTAGGGTGTAATCCATTTTCAATTGTAAAAATAAGTGTCTTTTGCGAAGGTACCACTTATTTTCCAAAGGTACCACGTTTTTGAACTAAAGGTACCACTTTTCGGCGTCCAGGTACCATGTTTTCTAAACACTCGCTTAGCTAGCTTGGAGAATATTTTGTGTTATTCATGGCCCTAATGGAGCTGTTTATTGATCTAACGTGCTCCTTAATTAGCGATGTGGGGGTGTAATACCATTTTCAATTGCAAAAATAAGTTCCTTTTGCGAAGGTACCACTTACTTTCCAAAGGTACAACTTTTCGGCGTTTAGGTACAATGTTTTCTAAACACTCGCTTAGGTAGCTTGGAGAATATTTTGTGTTATTCATAGCCCTAATGGAGCTGTTTATAGATATAATGTGCAACCTAATTAGCGGTGTGGGGTTTAATAATAACACAATTATTAAGTTTGAACATTTATTAGCCCCCACTCGTCCATACGAAGTCTTGATTGCAATATTAGCCCCCACTTATTTATACAAAGTCTTGATGGCAAGAATCGATTCTCCAATCACACTGTCAAAAAAAAAAAAAAAAAAAAAAAAAGGGTTACTACATTTAATTGTATCACATTAACGAAAAAATTAACCAACCTTAAAAAAGTAGGAGAAACGGAAAAGGTGAAGGTACCAAACTGAAAACGTGGACAAACTTTAACAATTGTATTATTGAAATAATTATTCAAAAGTCCCAAACAGCCTTGCTGATTAAAATGGTGCGAAAAAAAAAAATCTACCATACCAACTATTTAGATGTAGTATATGATAATTAAGAAATATTTGTAAGCCAACAATAAGACCAGCAAAATATAGAATGAAACATTTTTTACTAAGCAAATAATAAACTTGTTCATAGTTTCACTATAACTGAAATGAGGTTTGTAAGAAACATTAAGGGTAAGACTAGGAAGATAGCTTAAGTATGAATGAGACCATATTATCCATGGGTGGTAAAGAGTGTTAAAAATACCTGAGTCTAGGGTTAAAACAAATGCTACCAACAAAAATTGTTCATTTCAATTTTTAGGAATTTTCAACATTAAAAGGCCTATCCATTCTATCCTTTTAAAATTTTAATGCCACCAAATCTCTTGCACTCACTAAGCTATCAATCATGTTCACTACAAAAACATATTCTTACTAAGCTTGCCCTACAACAATGAGTGATAAAAAATCATCCATTTAAATGATCCAATAGAATATGCTACTCCATTTAAAAGAGTCAATGGGACCAATAATTTACTGATTTAGGATCACAATAAATAGATGACACCAAATACCCAAAGTGGTGCTAGAATGTAAAATGGGACAACTGCCCCCTGTTCGAAGAAAATCTGGGCAGCGGATATCTCAATATTTTTTAGAACATTCGTTTGACATCCGAATTGAGAAAACATAATTTATTTTGAAATTAAACTTATTGAATTATAAATCAGGAATTTTTTGGATTTTTTGGAGGTCAACAAGTCGGTCAAGTAAAATGTTCAAAAATCAAGTTACAGCGATTCCGGCTGGTCTAAAAAGGCTTAGCAAATGCCTCCTTTCAAATTCTAACACTGCCCATTCAGTCGTGTCATTGTGGCGAAACGTACCTTCAATGTCGAAGGTAGTCTCAAAATCCAGACGTTTGGTACGCCACGGGGCTTTGGGAGTCTCTTTAGAGGGTTTGAAACGTTTGGAAGAAGAAACACGAGTCATTTTTGTAGAGTTCAGGCTTTCTAGTAAAAAGTTTTGAGACTGAGACTGGCAACACCCACTTTGTAATGAACTGCAGATTCAACTAAGTGCATCAATTCTACTGCAATGACAAACCAAAATCCGTATCAATAAATCCGCAAAATTCAACAACCAACTATCCCAATCACCAATTCAACTCTAAACAATTACCCGAATCAAGCACCCTATGCACAATCCAAATCCAACAACAACCTAACCCAACACCAATTCAGCCACTGTGAAATGTTTTCATGTTTTTTTTTTTTTTATCAATTCAACTTTTTTTTTTTTTTTAATCATCAATGTATATTGCAAAGGGAACCCAATCAACTACGCAATTCACATGCAAAAGAGTACCCAATCAACAATTCAACCATTCAGACCACTGCCAACAACCACCATATACTTAACACTTACCCGAAAAAAATTTAATTGCTTCAAATTTTTTTTATTTGCTGCAAAATCAGTACTTAACCAAAAAAAAAAAATTCTTTAATTGCTTCAATTATTATTTATTTATTTATTTTTAATTAATTTATTTATTATTATTATTATTATTTGTTTATTATCAAAATCAGCACTTAACCATAACTCGTCGAAGAAGAGCCAACCGAAATCGCCGGTAAGACAACGAAGCAAAGAACAGCCGGCTGACAAGCTCACTAGAAGAAAATGGTCAAAAATTGCCGGAGAATGGCGACCACAAGCTCGCCGGAAAGACCCTGCCGCGATCAGAGAAGAACCCAGCTGCGACTCACAAGCTCGCCGAAGAAGAACGACGCAGCGAAATCGTTGGAGAACACCGACGCAAAGAACCCAAATCGTCGGAAAGAACGGCGATTTAGAAACTCGCCGGAAGGAACCCAGCCGAAATCGCTGGAGAAACCGGTGATTCAAAAGCTCGCCAGAAGGAACCCGCAACCCAACAGCGACCGCCGGAGAAGAACCAGCCGAAATCGCTGGAGAACACGGCGATTCACAAACTCGGCGACCCAAACTTGACAAAGAAAAGCAACCCAGAACCATGGCGCAGGAAATCACAGCCGCGACACCGTGGAAGATAAAAACGAACCATGAGGGATGGACGAAGGAATTAGGAGTGGAGGTTGGGTTTAGAGAGTTGTGGGGAAAGAGAAGAATCGATGAGGACAGATGAAAAATTCGAAGGGAGAAGAAGAGTGATTTATTTGGGGAAAGGATATTTTAGGCAACACAGAAAAAATGAGAAATGGCATTTTAGGTAACATAATTTTTAAACAGTATTTTTCCATGTGCCACCTCAGCTTTTGGGTCAAATTCATTTTAGGGAAACTATGGGACTTTGACTCAGCCTCTAAGTAAATATGGTGCACTAATCCCACTTATATGTAATAATCCCAATTTTTTTTTGGGTCCGACACCGCGTTGAACGCAACTGAAAAATGATTGCATTCGTACGGTAAAATATGGTACTTGGATTTTGGGTATGGTTTAGCAATCATATCGTAATGTATGGTAGGTTTTGGGGTACTACAGAAGGCTTGACATTAGCAAAATCCTTCGTTGACAGCGTAGGTGTAGGGAAAACTAGTATGAAGTGTAATAAATGAAAACATAGGAAAACACTATAATATTGTAATACGTCAGGAAAAGTCCCCTCTAATTATCCCCTATACAAAAATGATCATGTAAATGTCAAATGAATCTCCAATAGTCTTGTACTAAACCTTTAAACACATCATTCCTTTCCCCTGGTCCCAAAATGGCAGTTCAAAGTACGAAATCGTTTATCATGTTATAAAACAGGCTTGCTGAGTTGTCAGATGTTAGTCTAAAACATTGAGACCTCGACCAAAAAACAAGCAAACCTAGTCAACTCCAAGTGTCCTTTGACTTCAATGCCAAAAGTATCGTCTCTCTTGGACCCTGAAACAGTCAAGGTGATCAAAAGTGAATATACACTGAGCAAGGGGCTAAAATTTGGGAGGGCAGGAGTCAAGTCTCTTACAGATATTAACAAAAAAATAAAATTTAAAACGAAAAGAAAAGAAGAGGAGCATTTCCTAAAACACAAACCATGAATCTAAATGCTCCACACATGTTGATCCTCATCTAAACATACTTAATTATAATGTTGTCGGAGTGATGAATGCAGGTCAAGAAAGGTTCTGACACCACATGTAGCAGGGGAATGCTCTGATGTAGAACAAGGAGAGAAGAGGAGAAGAGATCTATTTAAAGAACTTTATCAAATCTCTAGTTTTATCTATTTTTGCTCCTTCATAAGTAGAGGCCAATCACATAAGCCTCTTCCATTCGAGTCACATCTCTTTCTTTTCACAGAGTACCTCCAAAACCCCTAATAGTTGAAAACTGGATTTGTATTAACCATGGGGCAGAAACTCAAAAGTCACATCACGTATAATTTTTACCATCTGGTTAGAAGAGTAATTAGGTTTTAAATATTGCAAATAATTACAAACATATCACGACTCAAAAAGAACATTTCAATGACCGATGCTGCATCAACCAGGAGATGGAATCATGAATAATTTCATACCCAATTGACCTGGTTGGAGGAAAAAGCTGTTATTATTTTGAGTCAAGGAAAAACAAGCGATATACAAAAAACTGATAAAAAGGGTGCAGGGCTAAACAAAGAATGCTATGGTGAAATGAAAAAACTAGTAAAGAATGGCGTATGTAAAGCTTATAGGTACTACCAGTGGATACCATTTTTGACAAAACACACATGGTTTCGTCACGCGCATGGAAGTTTGAACTACTTATAAGGAGCCATGTGGTTTTATATTCCTGCTGGAAAGCTAGAGGACCTTAAGGTTGATATAGAGAGGAAAGAGAGTGAAAAAGAGGCTCTATACAAAACACAATAGAAAAATATTTTAGCTTACAATAGACATATAGCTTTTAGGGTAAACAACATTTCAATTTCTGAAGTGTTTGAATTCAATTTGGCCCCCTACAATTTATTTTAAGACACTCACTCCTAATTAGGACTGCAAATGAACCGAGCCGGGTAAAGCTTTGACTTGTTTGGGCTCGGCTCACCAAGACTAGCAAGCTGTTTGGGCTCTGCTTGGCTCAAGCTCGCTTACACGTTCAAGAAACCAAATCGAACTAAATCTTAAAACTGAATCCTGAAAACAACCGTGCTTAATTTCATACCCAATTGACCTGGTTGGAGGAAAAAGCTGTTATTATTTTGAGTCAAGGAAAAACAAGCAATATACAAAAAACTGACAAAAAGGGTGCAGGGCTAAACAAAGAATGCTATGGTGAAATGAAAAAACTAGTAAAGAATGGCGTATGTAAAGCTTATAGGTACTACCAGTGGATACCATTTTTGACAAAATACACATGGTTTCGTCATGCGCATGGAAGTTTGAACTAATTAGAAGGAGCCATGTGGTTTTATATTCCTGCTGGAAAGCTAGAGGACCTTAAGGTTGATATAGAGAGGAAAGAGAGTGAAAAAGAGGCTCTATACAGAACACAATAGAAAAATATTTTAGCTTACAATCTGTGTTACCTGGACTCGTCAGTGAAGGCCAGAGTGCCCGTGTCGACACGACACGACACGGACACGGACACGAGATATGCGTCCGACCCTCCATTCTTCAATCGGGCACGGCTGACCAAGAAAATACATAAAATGATGTGTAGTTTGATGCTTGTGAAGGATCAGGAATTTTTTTCGTGTTTTTTTGTTAAATTTGTAGCCATACGAAGCTTTCTATTTCAACAATGGCGTTCTGGTTCGGATCGGTGGTCTGGAGGTTGAAGACACTTGCTGTTTGTGAACTAGCACGCGCTGGCTTTTGTTCAATTTTTTGTGCCATCTTGAGCGTGGTTTCACGCAATTGTTAATAACTTAACACCTGTTTATTTGGATCTGAAAAGATAAGGGATGGGACACAGCTGTAAAGCAAAACTGTGGTGGGTTACAGTTGTAAACCTGTAACTTTGCTTTTTACAGTACTCTTATAAATACCATGTACATTGAATGGGCCTCCTTTTTAATTGTGCTTTGGACTTGTGCAGGCCCAAAAGCCAAGCATCAATCTATGACTATAATGCACAAAAAGACATATTAGCCCATATTGAATTAGTCATTCTTTTTAATCGTGCTTTGACTTATACAGGCCCAAATGCCAAGATGCACATACAGAGGTATATTAGCCCAAGCCCAAACCCGCCCTTGGGTATACAAAAGAAGCCCTATAGTTCAGAATTTCTTATTTACAGGTTCCATAAAATAGCAGTAACAGGGGAATGCATAGCCATGACATGCCACAAATCAAATGAGGCAAACAAATGCAGTAATAATTATAAATTTTTTATAAAAAAGTACAATTGATATATATATTTTTTAGTTTTATGATTAATGTCTCAAACATAAAAAAAAACTTACAATTTTTTCTCTCTTTTCAAAGAGTCCAAGTACCCGTGTCTAATATTTGGACACTTTTAATCCGTGTCCCCGTATCCTGAAAATTGATAGATTGAAGAATCCGACCCCTAGACACGTACCCGTGTCCGACACCCGTACCCGAGTCCGGGTAACATAGCTTACAATAGACATATAGCTTTTAGGGTAAACAACATTTCAATTTCTTAAGTGTTTGAATTCAATTTGGCCCCCTACGATTTATTTTAAGACACTCACTCCTAATTAGGACTGCAAATGAACCGAGCCGAGTAGAGCTTTGACTTGTTTGGGCTCGGCTCACCAAGACTAGCAAGCTGTTTGGGCTCTGCTCGGCTCAAGCTTGCTTACACGTTCAAGAAACCAAATCAAACCAAATCTTAAAACTGAATCCTGAAAACAACCGTGCTTAATTGGCTGAATCTTTTCAAAGAGGCAAGAAAAGGACCTTCATCATCCATTCTTGAGCTTCAATTCAAATCTCACTTTTAATTTGTGGTTCTCATATTCACAAAATAGAGGTTTTCCATTAACAGTAATTTGATTGTGAGAGGGGGAGAAAGAGAGAGAAACCTGACATTGCTGACGTACTCCAACAGTTGCCGTGGAGTGCAGCGCAACAATAGTCTGTGTGTAGAGGGGTGTAGCGAGAAGCAGCTGTAGTGTGTTAAGGTATATATATAAAATAATTTAATTAAATAGTTATTTACTAATACTAATTGATGGAGTGGGGATTATTTATTTATTTATTTTGATAAGTAAAATGTATGTGTGTTAGGGTTTGTCTAATCTCGTTACTTTAAAAGAAAAATCCAACGGTTGGGATCAACTATGTATAGTGTGGCGACCTTGTGGGCAGATGCAAGACACTGGCAAGCTATCACACTGGGCGAGAATGGTGAAGTGCTTATATGTGATGGCGTTATCTCCAATTGGCATGAGGCCTTTTGGAGTAAAACCCAAGAATAAAACCGTACAGGCTCAGGCTCAAGCTCAAAGCGAACAATCTCATACCATGTGGTGAAGTAGGTGGTTACATATAGCTTATGGGCTAACGCCTAATGGGCTATTGAGGTAATGGGTTTGTAAAGATTAAGTAACTGATTGGGGGCCTATGGAACATGCGTGAATTGAGCTAATGTTGTACATGTGGGATAAAATTTTAAAATATGGTGGGCTTTTAAGTAAACGAGCTTGTTCACTAGCCTAATGAGCCAAGCTTGGAAAACTGGGTTGCTTAATGAACGATCGTTTGTTTACTTAACGGACGATCCTGAACCGAGCTTTTAATGAGCCCGAGCTGTTCGTGTCATTTGCAGCCCCACACTTTCTTTATAAGAAAAAGCTAGCCATGGGCCGCATGAGTAGGAATCAGCTTCTGATGTTGATAGGAACCCATAACATGACAAGTGTCAAAAAAAATTGCCTGAATCATTTGGATCTTTTACGGGTCATCCAAAGGAAAGTGGATTTTTTCCTCTTAAGACATTTTTTTTTCTCATGCATCTGTGACAAACCTAGTAGTGCTCTCTCTCTCTCCTCCAAGTCACGCTTCCTTCTCTCTTCCACCAAATCGCCATTGATGCTCACTAACTCCTCAATTCTGAAACCCTTATATTCATCATCTCTCTAACCTTCTCAAATGGCGCTCCAACTTTGAGAAACAGTTACCATCTGGCGACACAGATAGGGCGCAGCACGCACAGAGTATTGACCATTAGCGATGATCCGATTGAAAAGCTCACCACCAGCACACTCTGCTGGTTATACTGACAATGTCGGCGGCGGTGTTTATCGGGTGCTTTGCTATTGATTTCCACACTTGGCATGAACAACAAATCCCTTAGCTAAAGACACATTGACCTCGATCGATGTCGGTGGCGATGATTGTTGGGTGATCAGTGAGTGGTTGTGGTGTCTTCTCTGTTTTCCATGGCGACACCTTCCCGAGTTTACTGTTTTCCTTTGTTTTTTTAATCTGGTTTCAATTATGTGTACCGATTTTGGCCCGTGTCTTGGAGTTGAACTTGGTGGTGCACAGAAGGGAAGAAAGATATAGGATAGAAAACTTGGTGATGACGAGATGGAAAAACATAGAATAGAGGGATTGGAGGTGGTGGTGGTTCGCTGGAATTTTCCGTGACTTGGTGATAGAAAGAAAGCACACAGATCCGTGAGATAAAATCTCGGACATAAGAGAAAACCCGTAAACTGATTCATATTTATTTTTGACACGTCTCAAGCTGTTAGTGGTCCACGTCAGCACAAGAAGAGATTCCTGTTTACGCAGCCTGAGGCAATCATTATTCTTCTTTATATTGCACCTAAATTGATTCCCTCACTATCTACTTATCAAAGGAGACATGAACAATGCATTGGTCTCAACAACTTTGTAATTCATATATTGAACATTCTTCTCTTTAATTAACTAACTATAAGTTGTTCACTTTAAGATAGAAATAGAGAGAGAAGCTGGGAATTCAAAAATAAATAACAGGCAAGGTGGAAGCACTGCTAGATAAGTAGTGAGATTTTTTAATTACAAAAACATTAAAGATGATAGGAAAATATGACATTCCACAGGAAAATTTAATGTCTTTCTGACTCCAACTTTTGGTAAGGGGCGTTTCTGTAGGTTTTTTCATACATTTAATATACCTGTAATTAAGGATTACCTCAGGGATGTCAGTGTAATTATATCATTATATCTCCCAGTACCATTTCATTGTTTTTTTTTCTAGATGTATGAAAATCATATGTATGTCTTTTCCTTTACTCCTACAATGTTTAACTATTGTCTTACTAAGTAAATCACCTCCATTGTGGATATTTCTAGCATATACCCAAATTAGTTATCAGATACAATAGATTCCTTTCTTAATTTCATTCAAAAGCCCTTTTCCATATTTTCATTGTATGACTTATTAATTTATTGCTACAAGTATTTTATTATTTTTGGAACTTAAAATTTAATAATTTGACTGACCTAGTTGATTGATGGGAAGAAGGGTGGTTAGGGTGATTTTGTAAAACCTCAAGGAAGGTTGACCACAATTTTTCAACTAGTTTCATCTGAAGGGAATTTCGAAAAACCTCTAAGGATACTTTACCCTAAATTCTATTTCTGAAAGTCCTCAATAAGCCGAAGAATAAAGTTTCTAAAGGTGTAATGGTAAATTAAGAAATAGTACATAGAGTAGGCTGAGTCTAGTTGAGTTTACCTTCGGTAACCCTTTCTTCTTGAGATCTTCATCAGTCATGTTTACAAGGCGTGGCATATCAATCTGCAGAAAAAGCAGGAGACATCCAACCAGTGATGGAATTTCTGAGGGTAAGAACCAACGCAAGTACATAAAATTCCTGTAAACAAAGGAAAGCTATAAAATTCACACACGTCCTCATCTTTGAATATAAATGAATAGTCTCGAAGACCCAGCGGCTTCAGGAATTCCTTCACCGAGTTAGCCTGCACCAAATATGTATCACTTGTGAGTAACAAAAAAAACATTATACTATGTATTTGGTCCCCAATCCCTATTATTTCTATTATTATTATTTTTTTTAAGTCTAAAGTTCAGCTGATGTTTAAGATAATTTGGGAGAAGAATCTGCAGCTTCACCAAGGATAAATATATCCCTCCAGGGTGAATAACCAACATAAGTTTAGGCGATTGTTATGAGAATTGGTGATAAATTAACTATTTCCAGTGAGACATAAGTTTTATTTTAAAGAAATAGAGTGATCGTCTAACCACATGATCAACATATAATAACTATAAAAAACAAGTCAACTCATGAATAATTTCCAAACAGATTGAAAGAAGGGAGTAAAAAAAAGATATTTAATATGCATTGCACCAAAAGTACCAAGGACTGAAACCTAATAGTACCTCCTCTACCTCCCAAAGTGGAAGGTGAGGGTTCAAATCCCCCTAGGGGCAAATGGGTGTGAGTTTATGTCGATCTTACCCAGAAGAGAGAAAGAACAAGCACCACCCACCACAACCAAGCCTTTTTCCAATTAAGGCCATAGTTTCGGTCAATCCATCTGCTATCATATCTTTCTTTACTAACTCTATCCCTGTTAACTTTGGTCTATGTCACCTTTACTAAACAATGCACTTAAAGGTCTACTTAGCACATCACCAAACCATCGTAACCAATTTTCTCTCATTTTATCCCCCAATTGGTGCTACTCCAACCATCTCCCAAATGTGATCATTTCTAATTCTGTCATTTCTATTCTTACTGCACGCACATACACCTCAACATTCGCATTTCTGCCACACCCACTTTATGCAAAATGTTGTTTCCTAAGTGCCCAACATTCGGTACCATAGAGTATGGCTGGTCTAATAGCTGTTCGATATAACTCTCCTTTCAATCATAAAGGGATACGCTTATAACATAATATACTAGATGCACTCCTCCATTTAATTTATCACTTTATTTCTAATGATTAAGGTGATCTCCAATTTCTCCCCCATTATGAATTACTGATCCTAAATAATGAAACACCCTAGCAAAATTAAAACCTCATTCTTTGTCACAGGGATAAATGCAACCACAGAAGTAATATTTTGAAATTTGGAGAACAGTTAGATTAGGGCAATTTCCTTATTTCTTTTCCCAGAAACTGAGGTTGAGCTGCCGACTCTTTTTCCAGCAGGTTGACTGCCCTCAGGTACTGACTCCAGCTTTGGTGGATCAATGTTCATTGACTGCAAATGTGTGTAGATACAGGGATCCTCAAAGCACTCAGACTGATCCTTAAGACCTGAAATAAAACCTTTCCACTTCTGAGTTCACTACAGCCCCAAAGTAAAACATATCTAAGACAAACTATACAAGCCATTGACATTCAATCAAAATATTATGTACAAAAGCTGCTATATATTATTATTTTTATTTATAATTACTAGACATATATATAAGTCAAATAAAAGTAAAACTGCAGCCTTTAGATGAATGCAGCTGTATCTCAAACAATTCATACCTGTCTGGCATTCAGACTTGTAGTCATATTGACTCCGCCTGAAAAACAAATCACATTGAAACAAATCATATTTGGAAATTTGATAATAAAATTAAATTTCTTTGACTGAAAATATCATTGCAATAACACGTCCTAAGAAGGATTGATGGGGTAAAGGGTTTCCAGTTGCATATCTTCGAAAAAATTTCTTTAACTTTATTCGTGTTCTTTTACTTCATCTTCATACCCCTCAACAGAAATATATTTACAGATAAAGACATATAACATTGTCACTTTCCCTGTTTCTTATTTTGCATTGCAATTACACACAATCTGAATGCAAAACATTTCCATTGATACTAGATATATAAATATAGATTCCTCTCAACAAGTTATGCAAATTTCTAATTTTTGTCTAGCTGGTTACTGCAACAACCCAAAAATATCAATACACTACTGTGAGGGTCAAATGTGCAACTAAAACTTGCCTCTGATATAAGCAACAATCACACTCAGGCTTCCAATATTTAAAACTATTTATCACCAAAACTTACTCTTGTTTTAAAGCCTTGAGGATGAGCAGATCTGGTAAGCTACCCCACAGTAGGTTTGAGATCTCCTTCTACAGGAGATTGGTTGGTGCGCGGGAGTTTCCTGTCCCCAGGAAGGCCATTTGGTGCACAAAAGCCCGTTAAAGGTGGCTTTCTTTGGGTGGAAGGCAGGCTTGGTGAGGATCTTGATGACAAAAGAACTAAGGTGAAGAAGATAAATCATTGTTAACTGCCATTGCATGTGCAAGAGAGATGAGAAGTCTATCAACCATGTATTTTTCCATTGTCTAGTGGCTCGGGAGGGTTAGCATTTGCTTCTTGTCATGTTTGGTGCTTGTTGAGTCATACATTTTGCCACAAAAGATTTGCTCATAGATTGGCGAGGTTGTATAGTGAGGAAGCAAGCTCGAGATGATTGGTGGGTGGCCCCTCTTTGTTTGTGGTGGGGTTTTTGGCGGTTTAGGAATAGGAGATCCTTTCACGGGAAGACTCTTGTTTGGGCTATAGCATTCTTCATAGTTAGAACCTTATTTTTTCAAATTCATGGTAGATTTTGTAAATAAGTGGAAGTTTTATTGGTTTTTGTGGATAGAATGAGGATATAGGGCTTTTCGTAGATGGCCACCACAGTCCTTGAACGCCTTCCTATGATATCTATACTTATATAAAATGAAAATAAAAAATAAAACGAATCAACACAATCTTCATTAAAAGTTGCAATTTGTCATTGCCACAGTCAACTAAGACATCACTGAGCAAGGATTTTATGCAGGGCCAACTGCGTTGTTCAGGGACGGACCTGAGCGAGGCCTACTGAGGCACTTACCCCCACTAGATTTAAAAAAAAAAAATCCTACTTTTACGTATAAAATCTAAGGTAATTTCATAAACGCCCCCATAACTTTTATCTTTTACCCCATTGCTATTTTTCTTCTATCATGAGCGCTCATGCACGTAAACAATAGCCAAGAACTCCATTATCTCTAGTCTCCATCTCGACCATCCATGGCTCTCTCTTGAATAACTAAATAAATAATTTTCTTTCTATTCTTTTCATTGGCAATCCAACTCTTCCTCGAAGAAGTGCAAGTCCTAAGATGGTAAGAAAAGTACTAATTAATTTTTATCGTTGAGACAAAAAATTAAAAAAAAAAAAAAAAAGAAAAAAAAAAAAGAAAAAAGAAAAAAAGGCAGAGTATATTTATTAATTTATTTGCTTGTGACCTTGCCATTGATCCTATTAGTTAGGACTGTCACACAGAGATTGAGAAATAAAAATTTAGTATGTTGGTTTTTTTCTCCCCTGAAAGTAACACACGTACACATGTTGCCCTTGTGGAGACTTGAACTCGGAACTTTACACTTTGAGTGGTAGAGGAGATACCACTGAGTTACTACTCTTGGTGGTATATTTACCAATGTTTTAACATTTCAAAACATAAAACTAGTTAACGACAATTGTGAATGTATTTTACAAAAATATTATCAATCTATAATTAAGTTTAATATTATTTTAATTGATTTCTTTTACCTTATTATTATTTAAAGTCGCCCCCACTGAAACAAATTTTTAGGTCTGTCACTGGCGTTATTGCTGTCAATGAATGCAGCTGAACAATGATAGCAATAGCATTCATAGTATAATATGGTACTTGGGTTTTGGGTATGGTTTAGCAATCATATCGAAATGGGGTAAAGTGCAGAAAACACCCATATTGTATGCTTATAGTGCGTATCACACGCCACATGTACAGAAAACACCCCCTTAAGTATGAATTTGTGCAAATAAGTCTCACCTAACACATTTAAGAAAGACTTTGTCCAAATTACCCTTATGGATACAATTTACACATTATTTTAAAAAAATTCATTTTGTGAAATGACAAAAAAGGACATGAGGGGTGTCATACGCACTCTAAGCATACTATAAGGGTGTTCTCTACACTTTACCTTTTTTTTTTTTTTCTTTTTCTATTTCAGTAAAGATTATACACCAATTTGTTGTTATGTAATGAATTATATGTGTGTGTGTGTGTGTGTGTGAAAATGTAGAGGGCAGCAATACAATGTTTTTGGTGGCAGATGAAGGTGGGGGTGATTGAACACCCATTTGTTCCTATATAACGAATTATATATATATATATATATTGTGAAAAATAATAACTATATTAAATTTTAATTGGGAATAATTTTTTCTTTTTTATAATTATAGAAAGAACTGAGGTTTTCACTCCATATGATATATTGAACATTTGACAAGTATGAGGACAAAGATATACATATATATAGACACATATATATTTTTATTGAGATATTTTTATTATTAAAAAGGACATGAGGGGTGTCATACGCACTCTAAGCATACTATAAGGGTGTTTTCTACACTTTACCTTTTTTTTTCTTTTTCTATTTCAGTAAAGATCATACGCCAATTTGTTCTTATGTAATGAATTATAGGTATGTGTGTGTGTGTGTGAAAATTTAAGGAGTAGAGGGCAGCGATGCGGTATTCTTGGTGGCAGATGAAGGTGGGGGTGATTGAACACCCATTTATTGCTATGTAAGGAATTATATATATATATATATATATATATATATATATATATATATATTTTAATTGGGAATTTTTTTTTCTTTTCTATAATTATAGAAAGAATTGAGGTTTTCACTCCATATGATATACTGTACATTTGACAACTGTGACGACATTGATATATATATATATATATATTGAGATTTTTTATTTGCATTTGACCCCTAAAAGAAATACATGTATTAGAACTTTCTAACTTATCAGTGGTACTGAGTCCTAAGAAATATAAAACAGTTAACTCGTAGTGAGACAATACAGAGAGATAATATACTATTAGGGAACATATATAAAGAGATTTTTTTTTTTTGAAAGGCGAGAGAAAATCCTAAAAAGTGGGTTAAATATAGTTAATGTGCACATAACACCCCTGTACTATGAGATTATGGTTAATTTAACCGACACCCGTTCAGGTTTGGACAAATATCACATTGAAACGCCTTTCAAAAATTAATATAATTCACATTACAAACGTTTGGTCCGTTTTTCACTCACACCCCAAAAGTTACTTTTAAAATGTGTTTTACATGTAAAAAGACATTGTTACCCCTTTGACTTTGTGTTGACTCATTAAAAAATTGAACTACCCATAAAACCCATATTACCTGACCAAAGTACCCATTGCAACTAGTCTCACACACACTTTCATCAATAGCCACTATGACCATTGATCCCCACCGTAGCCGCCGCCGCCACTAGTCACGTACACACACATATATTATGGGTATTAAGCTTGGTTGGCTACTCCGCACGTGAAAAAAAAAAAATAAAAAAATAGAACTCTCTCCCTTCATGTAACGACCACCCTCTCTGAAACACCAACGCCGAAGTGGAGGTAATGTTACTTTTTCTCTAGGAGATTAAGGAAGTAAAGGAGTGCGTAGACAAGGGATCATGTGCCTAGTAGGGATAAAGTGAAAACCTATCCATATGGATATCCATTTGGAGTCGGACTTTCAAATAAACCAAATTAGAACATCACATAGTCTCTTATCATTGATGTTTCTGAAAATTAGTCCGTTTTCCCTATAAAGAGATTTTCATATTACATGAAGTTCTTTGCTGTTAAAAGTGAGTTTTGCATTTGCCACCACCAAAAATGCCCCCACCACCGGTTTACCAACCCCAAACCCATCACCTCCACCAAAATCTATAGAAAGAAAATTAGAGAGAAGAGTTATATAAGCTCCACATGTCTCTTCACCAACAAATCGTTCCTACCGTACAACAAAAATGCAAGACCCAATGCTGGACCATCAGTTTCGACGCCACCGGAGACTTTGACATCACTTTTGTCTTCTCATCGTCTTTTAATTTGATGGCGTAATTGGCCGAATTCCAACTCGCAGCAGTGGCACTCATCCAAGTGCAGCTCGATCAACCTGAATATGCCATTGCCAGAATTCCAGAACTCGTAGGAGTTTTCCGGAGGCTTCGCCGGCTGTTAACAGATGCTAACTCTAGAACACATGCATAGGTATATATATATAGGTGAATCTCTAAGAGCTATATATATATTGGCTTGTGCAATACCAATCTGTGTACAAACTTGGATGTAATCTTGTTGGTTTCTTAATCAAAGCTCATGAATCCATGCCCTCCGGCAATACATCACAAAGATCATCCCATTTTGATTTCTTATTGTGGTGTGTATCAAATATGATTAGCTAATATGGTTAGACTACCAATAAAATTAAGATATTTTTGCAATCTATATCCAATGATTTATCTCAAGGTCTTGCGCGATTCTTCCATCGAATGAGTGATTACGAGAGAGAGGGGAGTGGGTAGGTTAGAGGAATGAATTAGGGCAAAATAGCCATTTTAGATTGCTGATATTTTGGAATAAAAATTATTTAAAAATTAGGGACAAATTTTTCTTTTCGCACGTTTTTAATGGTATCATTGACAAAAAAGTTGTTTTGGACCTACGTGATAGTAATTTTCGAAAGTTGTTTCAATGTGATATTTGTCCAAACCTGAGGGGGTGTCAATGAAATTAACCCATGAGATTATAAGCATACACATCGCCTTGGGCATTTTCGGAAGGGTAAATGGGTAAAACGCGCATTATAGCATTACTTTATGACAGATTTCTGTTTGAGAGGTGTTTCCACACTATGTTAAAAGAATAAGGGGGTTATTAACACACTTTTTCAACAAAGGGTGAAAGTGTTACGTGGAGTATACATTAGGGGTGTTTTCTGCACTTCACCCTATCGAAATGTATGGTATTTAGGTTTTGGGGTATGGTTTAGAGACATTTGAATTGAGGTATTTAGGTTCTACTCTACTTGACTCATCAAAAAAATAAAAAATCTTCTCTACTTGATATTATTGCTTGCCTAAATCCCTTGTTAAAAAATGGGAAACCTTGAAAGACATTCTTGACTAGGAGTAGAACCTTTAAAGTTCTTTAAGAATGAGACCTTTAACAGCCACTTTGCTAAGGGCCTCTTTGGCAAGTCTTGAACAATCTCAAATCTGATCTTGACAAACATGATCGATTTGAATATGATGACACTGTGATGGCATTGGGCACAGAGAGAGAAAAAGTTGCCAAGAAAGAACTCTAGGAGCAAATGTACAGAAAAAGAGAGTTGTAGAGATTACTAAAAATGTTAGGGTATATTAACATTTCAACAAAACTTTTGAACTATTCCCTTTGAACGCATTCAACATTTAATAATAAGGTTTTTTACTTAAAATTTCAACCCTTTTAAATTGAAACTCAATCTTTTTAGATGGCATCAAACATAAATTAATTGGAGAATCGCTCAATTTGTCCAAACATAAATTAATTGGAGAATCGCTCAATTTGTCCAAACATAAATTAATTGGAGAGTCACTCTGTCATGCATTTGTTAAGTTTGAAAAACTCACCATACCATAAATGATAGAATATGCTCAAACAAGCAAGCCATGAAAACAATGAAAGGATATACAACACAAAGAATGCAAATACATACTCGAGGTCAAAACAAAGTGATCTTAATTGTGAAACAACCATAATTTATAGATTAGAGTTTGTGTCTTTACCTCTTTGAGTCAAAATATTATTGAAAAATAGATTGTAGATTGCCCAATGCTTCATTTCTGGTAATACTTGGTGTGTCTTTAATTCGAATGCATATCATTTGTCCCATTTACAAAAGGGGTTGAAAAAACTCACCATACCATTCATGATATAATATGACAAGCAAGCCATGCAAATAAGGAAAACAAAAGGCAACACAAAGAATGCAAATACTTACTGGGAGTTAAAACAAAGGGATGTTAATTGTGCATAACCTAAGCCATCCGTATTCAAGGCGCAGTCATCTGAACTCAAGATGACCGGTTCCATGCTCTCAGAAATTTTCAGGGTGATGATGGTGACATATTGAACTTTACTACGAGACCTTAAATCGAACTCAGTCCTCGCCACACAAAATTCTCTATTTCCCAAATGAACAAGACATGAGGTGTATCTGTCTTCTGGAAACATTGGTGAATGCAGTCGGGTAATTATCCGTGGAGCACTGAGAGATTGAATGATACCATCGCCAGAAAATCTGACACTATATGCAACCAACAGACAACAATCTGCCAAAAAGTATACCGAATCATCAACACATGCAGCCCTTCCATCGAAGTAGTAATATGGCACACCCTTTTCTTCCTTTTCGACGAACTGCCACTCCTCCATGGAACTCCCGACTTTGTAACAATAGAATTCACCTGGGCTACTAGAAAATAAACTTACAACTGAAATGAGGATATTGTCACCGATGACTGCTTGACCCGAGACATACATGCTTTCATTTTCCTACGCACGGTACTCAGGTAGGATAGCAGAAGAATCCCAATCGCCTTTAAGATGATCCAAACGTTCAAACGAAGGGGATTTTGTGAGAATGCCGGAACACATGGTATCTGAAGCAAGCACATAAAACCCTCTTCCATGCACTGCCATCACTCTCGGATAAGGTTTTTTTGCTTTTGGCATTGGCAACTCCATGAGCACTTTGGCATCTGTATTGAAAACAAGGGGTTCGAACGGGATAAATTTGTGCATATCCAGTGGTCTATACGAAGCCATCAAGCATATCTCCGATCCTATCAGATCACAATCAACCACTGACTTACATCTTTCTTCAAAGCAAGTAAACAATTTACACGGAGGATCGATGAATTTAGCTCCTCCGTCACCAATTTCGATTTCATAAATTGCACCACAATGTTCGCCATTATAAAAACACGCAACCAAAAACAATGATCTTACCATTGCCGCCGCCGCCAACGGTGGTTTCGGAAATTAGGGTTTTCTTGCCTTGAATCCTCTCTCTCGATCACAAAGGGGATTGTATAATGGGTGTCGTCGTCGTCAGTAGCGTGCGCTTTAGCTAGGTCTCAAACGGCATTGATACCCTTTTGAATCCTTTTAAGTACCACTAGGGTCTATCTATCTTTTTATTTATTTATTCTTTTTTCTTTTCTTTTAGACACGTCATTTAATTCGATACACCTCTCTTTTAATATTTATCTGTTAATGTTTCTCTCACATCTTGTAAAAAAGAGATAAATGTCATGAATTTATTGCAGTAACTTTGGCATAACTTTTGGAATATACGATTTTATAAACTGTATGTTATATCTGTGATGGCGCAAATGCGAATTCGTTTGGAAAGCGTTATAACACGTGGAGATTATTAATGTTCCAAAGCGTGATGATAGGGCCTTGGCTCTATTTATTCTTACTTACAAAAATAAAAGGCGCCATAATTTAATTAATTAAAGAGTTTTTGCATTATTATAATTTAGTCAGCAATATGATTGCCACATAAAGATGAGAAAAATGAGATGGTATGAAAGAGACAAAGAAAACTAGCAGTTTTAAAAGGTTGGCAGGGCCTGAAAGGACCTTATTTACATTATAAGTGTGAATTGCAAAAATACGGAGGCCTTCCATTAACATCAACCATTAAGACTCTATTTTTATTATCAACTGCAAAAATTCGACCCTTGAAATACATGACATCATGGATGCCACAAAAATCTCTTTTTATCTATGTAAGTCCAAGCTTCATCTCCTGCCCGAATAAATGCCAGGTTACAACAACCATCATAGATGGTGGTAACAATATAGTCATTAAGAGACAAAACATGATCAACTGACAATATAGCCTTATTCACTTCAAGCTCAACCTAAAAAGGACTATCATCTTCGTTTTCAGGAGGATATTCTAAGAGGTCCATAATTGGAGGAAGCTCGATGGTAACGCCAGAGAACGGATTCATTAGAGTTATGCTTAAGGACTCTTCCACTGTAAACACCCAACCATGTGAGGAACAAAAAAGCCTCTTTTTATAAGGCACCCGTAACTGAAAATCATATAACTTATTATGAGTGATGCTGTATAGACTACGTCTTTCGTCGCTATTATCTTTCGAAGGCACCATCAAGAATGGAACTTGTCTGAAGAACTTATTTTGAATGAATTTAAATTTGTTATCCATTGCCACAGACTGCCATGGTTTGCAAACCGCACCAAATCGAACATATTCAGAAAGCGATACCAACTTGTCCAAAATCATATCCAATAAGTTCTTTGGAAGCCATGCCAAATTTGACTCCTCCTCCATTGTCATATCCAATAAGTCCTTTGGAAGGGATGGCCAATCTGACTCCTTCATTGAACTCATCATCTTTATTTTGCTAATAGCACTGCGATGTCAAACAAATATATGATTTATAATCACAATATATGTTATGAAAAAAGGATCGAATGGGAGTTTATGAGAACAAGAGAAAATAAATGATAAGAAAAAAAAAATGACACACACAAACGAGACAAGGATTTACGTGGTTCAGCTATGCCTACGTCCACGGGGAGAAGGCAAAACAATATTTTACTATGGAAATAAAGAGATACAAGGCAAAGTGGCTCACACCCAAAACCTAATTACACCCAAAACTCTCTCACTCACTCACTGATATTACAAACTCACTCAATTGATTTGGGATGCTTTAACACCATGGAGGGCAAAGCTATTTATAGCCAAAAAAAACATCAACATATGCTTGCTGATCAAGTATATTCTTGTTGACCACGCATGGCACAGCTTCTTGAACACTCACCTTGGCTGCCAAGAAAAAACTGACTTAAGGGATGATGCAATATATTTGCTGATCACACAAAATTGTGGTCCCCAGCTGCAGCCACAATTTGAGCCATATGTTCAACAAATCTCCACCTTGGCGAAAATTCAAATGAACCACTGTATCTCTGCAAAACAAACTGTCTTCTTCACAAAAAAAATTAATTAAGAATTTTAGTTAAGTTTGAGTCATCCTCAAACTTAACCCTCGGGCTTTCATTCTTCAACCCATGTATGTCTTGCGCAGCCATAAACATACCTCCAGTATTTGTGTCAAACTCTAAATGTTTACCAAAAGCAACCTCAGAAATTCCAAGTTTGACATCTCCTTCAGCAACCTTCTCCAACCGCCCACAAACCACCGATTGGTAATGAAAAGTCATCATCTCACCCTTGTGGAGAATAGGACGTCCTTGACTTTTCCTCGCATCTCTGTTGTGACCAACTACTTGCCTCCCACGCATCTTAATGGCACTCGAATGGACTATCTTATTGCCATCAAGATTATTGCAAGTCAATATCACACCCGTCCTCATCGGTCTACCTCCCTGTAAGGACTGCTGCAATTTCGGTTGCCATCTGAAAACTGATTTCATTCTCCCACCATGTTGTGCAGTCCCCTCACAACCCTTTTGAGAACTAGGATCGTCACACCTCTTTCTAACTCTTCTTTTGCCAAGACCTGAACGCAGATTTCTGCTAGCTGTAAAAGACCCTGTAGAAGCTCCACCTGTTACTGTATTCTCTTGGAGAATATACAAATTTTTCACTTTGGTGCCCTGTAGCACCACAAGAGAATCCATCACGACCATCATTACTCCACCCTCTGTTACAAACTTGTAACCTTTGGAGTCTAGCACACCTACTGAAATAAGATTCATCTTCAGATCCGGTACTTGTCGCACATCTGACAATGTTCTCACCAACCCATTATGCGTCTTGATCTTGACTATTCCAATTCCCAAAATTTTGAAAGCTTTCCTGTTCGCCGTCAAAATCAAACCACCTTTTACCTCTTTATAGGAAGAGAAAAAATCCCTATTGGGACACATATGAACAGATCACGGGGTGTAAATGAATTAAACCCTTAATTTTTTTTAAAAATCTTCAGCTAAGATGGTGCTTAATGTACACCCAGTAAACCGCAACAAGGATAAAAAAACATTTGGCCTCCTTCAAAGTTCAACCCTAATGGGTGACCAAGTTTAGGAAATCAGTATGATAGATTAAGCCAATAAATTGACTATTTTCATTAAGACACAAGTACCATGGAAAAAAAATAAAGTGACCATCTAACTGCAAGATCAACATTTAATAACTCAATCAAAAGAAAGCCAACTATTAAATACTTTTTCAAATAGTTTAAAAGCAAGAAAAAGTAAAATATAAAATATAAAATATATATATATATATATATATATATATATATATATAAAGGAAAGAAAGAAAGATAAAAAATATTTTTTTATTTTTAAACTTGACAAGAAACACGTGCATTTATCCTAGTGGGGACTTTAACACTCAACACTTCCTTTGCAAGGTTTAGGAGATACCAATAGACTACATTGTTCGGTAGATTAAAGAAAATCAATATGAATTCACTAAAACTACCAAGAGTTGTAGCTTTGGTAGTGTCTCTCCCAAAATGGAAGGTGAGGTCTATGAGGATTCAAATTCCCATATGAACCTATGAGCGTTTGAGTTTTATGTTAAGTAAAAAAATTACACAAAAGGTGAAAATAAAGTTTACTAAATGCATTAACTTGAGTGACATATCTTGCCACTCTCCATGGGGAAGTTGCAAATCTTGATTCCCTTAGGGAGTTGGGACACTTAGGTCTATCCTACCCAAAAAAGACAAAAGAAAAATAAATTTAATGAAATTGTAAAACACCATAACAAAATTAAACCACATTCTTTCTAATGTGGTAAAATGCAACGGCAGAAATAATATTTTGAAAAATTTGAAAACAGTAAGATTTGTACATTTTCATCGGTTCGTTTTCCAAAAAAGGCTGAGCTGACAACTCTTTTTCTAGCAGGCTGACTACACTCAGATACTGACTCCAGCTTTGGTGGATCAGTGTTCACTGGCTGCAAATATGTGTCAGCATTGAGACCCTCAAAGTACTCAGGCCAATCCTTAAACCTCCTGAAATAAACCCTTTAACACTTTTGAACACTTTTGAGTTCCTAGATGGAAAATCCATCATTAAAGCTCCAAAATAAAATATATCTGACACAAACTATACAAGCCATTGACAGAAAAGTCTTATATGATGGGACTTCACCTCAAATACTAGGGAAATGAGATTTATAGAAAAAGGGAAGTGCATGTAAGATATTTATTACTAATTGACTTTTTTTCCAGGGTATTATTAAATGACTCATAGCGGTAGAACAACCATAATTTATATAATATTGTTGTGTGTGTCTTTAGCTCCTAGCATCGCAATATCATTTTAAAATAGATTGTAGATTGCTTAATGTTTTATCTCCGGTAATACTTGTGTGTCTTTAATTCAAATGCATACATTTTGTCACATTTTTGTAAGGGGTTGAAAAATTCACCATACCATAGCTGATAGAATATGACAAACAGGCCATGAAAATTAATTGGAGAATCACCTGATTTGTTCAAACATAACTGTTTTCCTCAATCACAAGTCCTTTATCCTTAAAACCTCATTCCTCTATTCTTTAAGCTTTGAGTAATGCAACCATGTTTTCCCATATAAAAAGTTGTCTTAATATGAAGTTGGCTTGTCAAAATGGACAAGCTTCAGTTCACTATAGTCTGATCAATGGGCTTGTACGATATCGTTGCTCAAGTTTAAGGAGGGTTTGAATTAAGGTCTAGATGTTTCAAAAGCATAATTTTTTTCTCTCAAAATTGTCAGTTGCAAAGGTCAATACAATCAAAATAGTGTGTAAATGATTGAAAAAACATTTAATAACTCTCTCTCTCTCTCTCTCACACACATTCACGCGTGTCAACAACCTAATTTCAAGTGTTAGCCAAGGTAAAGTGTAGAATTAAGGGTATGGTGCATGTGGGAGGATGTATATTTTTAATGTGTAAGTAAAATAAAATGAGGAAAAAGGCAGAAGGAAAAAAAACGAAGAAAGAGAGGAAAATAAACGTAGTTGCACTATAATTATAAATAAATAAACAAATGGCATGTCTTTGTTTTTAACAGTATCATTGACAGAAAAGTTATTTTGGACCTAAGTGATAGTAATTTTCGAAAGTTGTTTCAATGTGATATTTGTCCAAACCTGAGGGAGTGTCAATGAAATTAACCCATGAGATTATAAGCATACACATCGCCTTGGGCATTTTCGGAAGGGTAAAAGGGTAAAACGCGCATTATAGCATTACTTTATGACAGATTTCTGTTTGAGGGGTGTTTCCGCACTATGTTAAAAGAATAAGGGGGTTATTAACACACTTTTTCAACAAAGGGTGAAAGTGTTACGTGGAGTATACATTAAGGGTGTTTTCTGCACTTCACCCTATCGAAATGTATGGTATTTAGGTTTTGGGGTATGGTTTAGAGACATTTGAATTGAGGTATTTAGGTTCTACTCTACTTGACTCATCAAAAAAATAAAAAATCTTCTCTACTTGATATTATTGCTTGCCTAAATCCCTTGTTAAAAAATGGGAAACCTTGAAAGACATTCTTGACTAGGAGCAGAACCTTTAAAGTTCTTTAAGAATGAGACCTTTAACAGCCACTTTGCTAAGGGCCTCTTTGGCAAGTCTTGAACAATCTCAAATCTGATCTTGACAAACATGATCGATTCGAATATGATGACACTGTGATGGCATTGGGCACAGAGAGAAAAAGTTGCCAAGAAAGAACTCTAGGAGCAAATGTACAGAAAAAGAGAGTTGTAGAGATTACTAAAAATGTTAGGGTATATTAACATTTCAACAAAACTTTTGAACTCTTCCCTTTGAACGCATTCAACATTTAATAATAAGGTTTTTTACTTAAAATTTCACTTTTAAATTCAAAATTAATCTTTTAGATGGTATCAAACATAAAGTAATTGGAGAATCGCTCAATTTGTTCAAACATAAATTAATTGGAGAGTCACTCTGTCATGCATTTGTTGAGTTTGAAAAACTCACCATACCATAAATGATAGAATATGCTCAACAAGCAAGCCATGAAAACAATGAAAGGATAACAACACAAAGAATGCAAATACTTACTCGAGGTCAAAACAAAGTGATCTTAATTGTGAAACAACCATAATTTATAGATTAGAGCTCTGTGTCTTTACCTCTTTGAGTCAAAATATCATTGAAAAATAGATTGCAGATTGCCTAATGTTTCATTTCTGGTAATACTTAGTGTGCCTTTAATTCGAATGCATATTATTTGTCCCATTTACAAAAGGGGTAGAAAAAACTCACCATACCATAAGTGATAATGTGATATAATATGACAAGCAAGCCATGAAAATAAGGAAAAGGAAAAGTAACACAAAGAATGCAAATACTTACTGGGAGTTAAAACAAAGGGATGTTAATTGTGCATAACCGAAGCCATCCGTATTCAAGGCGCAGACATCTGAACTCAAGATGACCAGTTCCATGCTCTCGGAAATTTTCAGGGTGATGATGGTAACATATTGAACTTTACTACGAGACCTTACATTGAACTCAGTCCTCGCCACACAAAATTCTCTATTTCCCAAATGAACAAGACATGAGGTGAATAAGTCTTCTGGAAACATTGGTGAATCATTATCCGTGGAGCACTGAGGGATTGAATGATACCATCGCCAGAAAATCTGACACTATATGCAACCAACAGAAAACAATCTACCAAAAAGTATACCGAATCACCAACATATGCAGCCCTTCCCTCGAAGTAATGATATCGTACGCCCTTTTCTTCCTTTTTGACGACCTGCCACTTCTCCATGGAACTCCCGACTTTGTAACAATGGAATTCAGTTTTGCTACTAGAGAATACACTTACAAGAGAAATGAGGATATTGTCATCGATGACTGCTCTACCCGAAACATACATGTTCTCAGTTTCCTCCGCACGGTACTCAGGTAGGACAGCAGAAGAATCCCACACGCCTTCAACATGGTCCAAACGTTCAAACGACGGGGATTTTATGAGGATGCCGGCACACATGGTATCTGAAGCAAGCACATAAAAACCTCTTCCATGCACTGCCATCACTCTCGGATAAGGTTTTTTTTGCTTGTGGCTTTGGCAACTCAAGGAGCACTTTGGCATCTGTATTGAAAATAAGGGGTTCGAACGGGGTTAATTTGTGCATACCCTCTGGTCTATACGAAGCCATCAAGCATATCTCCGATCCTATCATATCACAATCAACCACTGAATGACATCTTTCTTCAAGGCAAGTAAACAATTTACACGGAGGACCGATGAATTTAGCTCCTCCGTCACCAATTTCGATTTCATAAATTGCACCACAATGTTGGCCATCATCAAAACTCGCAACCAAAAACAATGATCTTACCATTGCCGCCAACGGTGGTTTCTTCTAAGTCGCAAATTAGGGTTTTCTTGAATCCTCTCTCGATCACAAAGGGGATTGTATAATGGGTGTCGTCGTCGACGTCAGGAGCGTGCGCTTTAGCTAGGTCTCAAACGGCATTATTGATTTATTTATTTATTCTTTTAAGTAGGGTCTATCTATAGTAACTCTGGGATAAAATTTGGAATATACGATTTTATAAACAATATGCTATATCTGTGATGGCGCGAATGCGAATTCTTATTAATGTTCCAAAGCGTGATGATAGGGGCCTTGGCACTATTTATTTTACTTATAAAAATAAAAGGCGCCATAATTTAATTAATTAAAGAGTCTTTGCATTATAATTTAGTCAGCAATAGGATTGCCCCATAGAGATGAGAAAATGAGATAGTATGAAAGAGACCAAGAAAACTAGCAGTTTCAAAAGGTTGAAGACGGTGGTGGCGTTTTATACCACAGGACCTAACCACTAAGGATCCGGATTGTCCAAAATAGAAGATATATTTATAATTTCGCTTAACAATAAGAAAGGACCTTATTTACATTATAAGCATGAAGGGCAAAAATCACAATTGTAGTTTTAAAAGTGTACATTCTTAAATTCTATTTTCGTAATTTTAGAAGTCTGAAAATGAGGACTTTTGACCTTAAAAATTGACCTGTGTGGCTCGTGCAAGTCATGTAACCAAAAAAAAGTTTTAATATCAACAATGCCATTTTATAGTACCCAAACAACCTTTTACTTATTTTCTTCCTCATTTCTATATATATAATACTCCTTATTTAATTAATTTTCTTTCCATAAATACTCTATTTTAAAAATATTTTACATTCAAACAATCGAACTTAGTGATATACTGTAACCAGTATTTGTTGAGTTTCATTATTGTCATTTGATTATTTGAAGGAGGATATTGGGCTATTTTATGTCTTATATTTTGAATAATTATTGAAAAAAAAGAAAAGAAAAAAAAGAAGAGAATCTGTTGCATCAAGTAGCTGTGCTCCTCCACCACGACATTAAAAATAGGGATAATTTAATAAATAACAACTTATTTTGGTGGTACTATAAATACATCCATATGTATAGGAGTGAAAAAGCTAATAAATAAAAGTAATTACCAAAAAAGTAAAAATACTCTTTTTGTCCAAATTATCCTCACTATTTTTAAATTTTCCACCCACCTCCTTTCCCTCTCTACTCTCTCTCTCTACCCCTCTCCATTCCAACCACCCTCATCTAAACCCACCACCGCCTACCACCTCAAGCGCACACCTCTCCATTCCAACCACCCTCATCTAAACCCAAACCCAGCCCTCCACCATCATAGCAATATACATAAACCAAACTTCGCTTGTTAAGTGAAGTTAACATCACACTCGCATAAATTTCAATATGATGATGCTGAGTTTTGCGTTACATATTAACTAAAGAGTAATGACACAAAAGTGAAGATTCAAATGGTGGGTACAAAAACCAATTGATATTTATATCATTTTCCTTAAAATTAAGGACACAAAATGAAGACGTAAATTACCCTTCTAGTAGAAGAGGGGTATTCATAATTAGCTTAATAGTAATAAGAAAGGAACTTAGTTACATTACAACTAAATTAGCAGAAGCTTTAAAACATTGTTTCGATTTCAAAAAGGGCAATCCCTTCACTACTCTGAAAAAGCCGGTGAAAAGGCGATTCCTCTGAGAAAAAAGATAAGTAGTGCAAAAGTCGAATGCATTTAACTGTCCTAATCTTGTTATTATAATTAATGACATGATTAGGTCGTTTCCTACTCACATCAAACTTTCACTCTTCCCCCTAATAAAGTAAAGGCTATATATTCCAGCTGCGACTGCATGGAAAAATAGAGAAGAGGAAAAGTGCAAGAAAAGTATTAACCTGAGTAACCCATTCCACCGTGATCAAAACTTGATGAAGCAAATTCAGATACAATGCATGAGATACAATGGCACAGATCCATACAAAATCTATCAGGAAATTCGGCTACAAAATTAAGGGTTCAGAATACCAACTCCGGCATCAACAACTCCTCCCATGGAATCAACCTCAGCATTTACTAGAAGAGCAGATTCTAAGCTACATCCATGCATTCCTGTGCTAATACCTACAAATGTTCCCCGATTCAAGGTTTCAATCAAATTCCAAGGGAGAGAGAGAGAGAGTAGTGAGTAACAATGAGGATAAAAAATATCATTACCAGAATAAGGAAAAAGATAATGTCTTGAAAATATATATATATGTCTACTTTAATTAGGAAAAGGCTACAAATTAATCTAAATATTATACGGCAAAAGATGTTTAATGCATGCTTATCAGCAAAATTCAACTCCTTGGGATACAGCTTGCATTATTTCCCATGTATGGACCAGAGATTTCAAAATCCAAGGCACAATAATTTAAATATTGCAATATCAATACAAATAAAAGGAATACAGCGGAAATAACAACAGTTCATGACAAAAATGTGTGTGTTAAAAGCATAAATAAATTATCCCACGCCAACATTTTGTGTCTAAAGGCGCCAATCCTATAATTAGTATATAGTAAGAATCTGACACCATTGCTCTGTACAAGCATGCACGCACATACATAAATAAATTGATTGCCCTCCCCGATATATTGAATGGAGGTTCTCCATTCTCATGCTGTTGTGTATAAAAATTATTCAAGGTAGGAAGGTTACCATGCCATTGGTACTAGTGGTTTATTGTATAGTACGTACTTATAGTCCGCATAACAATTTGATCGTCGTAACCGTAAACAAGCATGCATCATACTTGCACATAGATCAATTTACATTGCATTAGTACATGAAATAAATCCTTTTCTATAAAGAGGGAAGTTTTAACTATGAAATTTTGGAAGTTGACAAAGGGCTAGTAATCTGAGAAGGGGATACAATTCTACAAAGGAGCCATTTTCAAACACCTAATATTTGCAGGTACTCCTGACACGTCCAGTAGATCCTGAAAGTGTTAAATGTTAATTATTGGACACTCTTTGGCACGTCTTACATTTTGGACCGTCATATACAACTTCCATTTAATTTGTCTCAAAAGATTACAACAGTTTATCCTGATTATTTGTATGTACATATTTAATTTAAACATAAATATTATGTATGTATAATGTTGTCGTTCCATACCATGCTCGAGTCTTGTAAAAATATGTCAACTTGCTGTATACCATCCATTCATATCCCGTGTTTGCATCAATACAGCAAAGCTATGAACAAAAATGACATCATCTGCAGATAATCTCAATTTGATATGCCATATTCAAGATACATGTCTATGTCATGCATGATAAATACTAAACATTGATCAGCAATATATTTACTTTCAACCAAACTCAGATCCTCTATTATGATTGAGCCCTTAAAAGTAAATTCAAGACATGCCAGGGAATTTTAAAAATACAAAATAAAAAATTCAAAAAAAAAAAGCAACAACCACACTAATATTTAATTAAAGGTCTTACAAGCTTGATCCCATATTTTGTTACAGCAAGAGATAAAAACAGATTATTTTACCACATAAAAATGTTAAGCAGAAAAAAACTAAACTAAATTAACTCTAAACAAAATTTCCTAATAGCACTGACTCCTTCGTTGAACTCATCATCTTTATTTCGCTAATAGCACTGCGATGTCAAACAAATATATGATTTATAATCACAATACATCATATCTGCAATACTCCATACTCAATTCGAATGGGTTTATAATTTAAAACTAATTGATTAAAAAAAAAAAAAAAAACTTTCTGGATATAGTATGAATTGGTTATTACTCTGAAGGTAACAGAGTTGCTACTACAATCTATATAATCGCAATAACTTACATCATATCTACAATACTCAATTCGAATGGGTTTATACTTTTAAACTAATTGATTCACAAAATACAAAATCTTGCTGGATATAGTATGAATTAGTTATTGGTGCAATGTTTCTTTCATCATCGTTTTTTTTTTTTTTGGGTAATTTCAGGTAACAGACTATGACTCTTACCCCGCTATGACGAATAAGTCCTCACAGGTCGATACTTTACTCTTTCTTGTATCTCTCTCCAAGGAGATGGAAAAACTATTCTAATAAAATTAATTTTCAACATTAAAATCTAATTGAGCCACTACCAAATCCAAATCCCATAAAAACAATATATTTATTGTGAATATGAACAATCAAAACAACTTACCTCAAGCCTGCAATAATCTTAAACTTCACAATTGGCGGCGATCCAAAACTTATGAGTAAAGCTGATCAATATATATATATATATATAGATGTAATCTTTTTCTAATCAGGAAGGAATCAGAGGGAAATTTCGAACAATCCTAATAGAACAATGAGTGGAGAGTTTATTTCCTCGTCAACTCTCCGAAGAATAGAGTACAACGACTTGGATTTTTAGAATGTAAAAGTCAGCGTAAATTGCATTTCAACCCACTCACCAACGATTAAATTGCACACAGCGTCCTTGTCAGGTAAATTGCACTTCAACCCCTCACCAATGACTAAATTGCACAGAGCATCCTTGATTACTTTGTAATTTAATAAAAAAACCCTCCCATCACAAAATTTTGTAATTTATTAATACATTCTTATGGGTTATTTTTTCAATTCGAGAATCTGTATTTAACTAATTCACCAAATATTAATAGATCAGGACTATCTAATAATTTCTCACAAATAAGAAATATTAAAGACAGTTTGATCACATTTGTGTTAATGGAATAGTTAAACTTCCTTCTTTATTTTATATCTTCATACATACCCAGCTGATGCAATTTCTAAACCCAGATCTCATATAACACAACATTCCTCTGGCATCCCTGCACATTAAATCAAGGGAAATAATACTCTCATAGTTTTTTATTTTTTCACGAGGCAAGGTACAAAAAAAAAATTTAATGGCACTATTTAATAAAACTTTATATAAAAAAATTGATCTTATCATATATATAGATATACCTTATTTATCTACTAGTTTTCAGATAAATTTAAAATGATTGACCGTTTGATCATTGTAAATGAACTTCAGTACACTCATGGAGTCCCTAAAATCACATGAAACTTGACCGGTATTATCTGCATGCATAAAACTTAAGTTGAAATAAATTTGTGTGATGAGTACATTGAATTATTATTATTATTTTTTGACGTGTGACATTACTTCTAAAACTAAACACCCAAATTAAAAACAATAAAATTAAATAAAAAAGAGATCAATTAATTTATAGAGAGACAAACCTCTCTCTTCTTTGTTCAGGGATTAATCCATCCTCTTTTGGATGCTTGGATTTGTGACCAGCTCTGTTAGAGCTGAAATAGACTTTGCAATCTCCTCTGTTAGAGCAACCGGTGTAGAGCTGGTTTTACCAACGGGGAAGTCAAAGGGGCTAGTGTGGCGCTGACAAATAGTGGGTCCCATGTGAAGATTCGCAAAGACAATTAGCAGGAAGCATACATATTGGGAGTGAAAATAGGCCCACAAATTGCAAAGGTTGAAAATATACTCTACACCTCTACACTGGTTAAAAAAATAAAAGGATTAATTTTCTTAACACATCCTTAAATTTAGTTAAATATTACATTAAAATAGCATTCCAAAGATTAGTATCACTCACGCAATAAAGATTTGTTTCGTCTTTCAGTCACATCCAACCGTTACCTATACATAGTGTTAGAGATGTAAAATGACTTAAATACCTTTTGAATTTGTCAAAAGAATTCTTTTAACTTAAAAATTATATTAAAAGACTAAAATATCTTTAAATATTTTATAAATTTACAAATTAAATTATACATCTTTATTGCTTCTTATATACCGTACTATATACAAATATATAGATTATAGTACATATATACTCCTCAGGCCAAGCCAATGCCCATGCAAATTAACCTTGACGTGTTTCTTCAGGAACCGAGGAATAATCCTGCCTTTAGAATTATTTACCCATTGGCTTGAAGAATAAGGTGACAACTGACGTGTTTCTTCAATTCAAGATTTTTATGATTTTTTGGTAGGGCACTGCAATAGTTAAATTTGTTACACTTTGATCGTTATCATGGCATCTTTTTGCCCCTTTTTTTTATTTTTTTATTTTAGATCTTGCATCTTTGCTTTTATTTATTTATTTATGCCATTTCTCTCATTATTTTCTCTCGAACTAGGACAGTATTTGAGCTAGGTATGGTTTTATGTGCACAATTAGAGTCTCTCTCTTTTCTTTTTCTTTTTTTTTTTTTCTTTTTTTTTTTTCCTCTTCTCTGGCGTAAATGGGTTCATGGAAGTTTGTTTGTTTTTTTATTTTTATTTTTTGAAAATATATTATCATGGCATCTTTTTGCCCTTTTTTTTTTTTATTTTTTTTATTTTAGATCTTGCATCTTTGCTTTATTTTATTTTATTTTATTTATTTATGCCATTTCTCTCATTATTTTCTCTCGAACTAGGACAGTATTTGAGCTAGGTATGGTTTTATGTGCATAATTAGAGTCTAATTTATTTATTTATTATTATTATTATTATTTTCTCTCCCTCTTCTCTGGCGTAAATGGGTAAATGGGTTCATGTAAGTTTGTTTGTTTTTTTTTTCTTTTTAAATTTTTGAAAACCTATTATCATGGCACCAATCCTCTCTCTCCACTTGAATCGCTGGAGGTGTCTATTTTTGTATTAGAATTTGCATCTTTGTTTTTTTTTTTTTTTTAATACTTATAATTCTCTACTTTTTGTTGTTGTAATGTTTGTTATCGGTTCATTATTTTTCACTTTTTTGTTTTTTTGTTGTTGTCATTTCTAGCTATGAATGATCCAAGAGGTGACCTGTACCAAACTTTTAGGAGACAATTGGCTGAATTAAAATCTGAATTAAACAAGACTAATGAAGGAACTGAAGTAACTGGGAGCAAACTGGTAAGTTGCAGTTTAATTAAATTTAATATGCAACTGAATTTCAAAATTTATTAAAATGTATGAAAAAAATATATATGCACATATGTATCTATTTTTCCAGATTGGTGGTATGAGGGCATATGAATTTAAATTTCAATGCTCTGAAGAGGATGAGCGACATGAAATAGCATGTGAAGGAGATTTGTCGCACCTTGGAAAACTGATGGAGAAAGCAAGATTCTTAGCTTACAAGAAGCTGGATCCAGTTGAAGACATCTATTTACAAGAAGCAGTTGAGTTTGTCTGGGGTACTAGAGATCTGAAGTGTCCACATTTGTTGATTGCAAAAGATTTATCTTTAGATGCCTTAAGGGAAAAAATTGTGGTGGTGCATGAGCACTTCCAAGACTACTTTGACAATTGGCTGGCAAACCATCCCCAAAACATTTTTGTAAATAACCAATTGAGCGATTTCTGGAAGCGGTCAATCAGGTAAAGGAATATGGTTTAGATTATATATATAGAGATATTTTTCAATTCCTTGTACCTAATATATTTTTTTTATGTTTTTCAATTTTAAAGGAATATGTTGAAGGCTGTGAAATACCTCCATGATATGGACAGAGCACATGGCAGGCTGGATCTTGATTCCTCCTATTGTATGGTTGGGGGAGATTTAAGAATGATGATGCTTGCAATGAAAACATCCACCAACCAAAAGGTTTTGGAGCATTATAAAAAGAAGGATTTGGATGAATTTTTAAGTTTTTAACCAGACATATAACTGATCCTGCTCAAGCACAACAAATTCCTGCTGCGTGGACTAATTTTGAAAAAAATTTCAAGGTCAACACTTTAGTGTAAGTTATCTTTAGTCTGAAGTATTTCCAATTAATGTTACTTTTTTTTTGATATATTTGAATCTTATTGTCTTGTATTTAATGTTATAGGGTTAACCAGTTAAAAAAGTCTCCATTATTGTTGACTGATCTTGAAATGCACGCTCATCTGGTGATAATTTGCAATCGCATTGCTTGTTTTACTCCGGCATCACGTAGTAGATTTTCCAAACGGCTTCGTAAGTGTACAAATGTATGGGGAAAATGGGACAATGCGCTCACTGAGGGGTACATGGCGTATGAGGTTTTTCAGTATCAGCAATCCAGCAATAAGCCATATGACACACAATCTCTGGAAGACCTGATACGCTTTCTTCGAAACATTCTACATCACGCATCAGAACATTCACAAAGGAAGCTTCAGTGGGTATGAATTTCAATTTCTGATCTTTTTTTTTAAAAAAAAAAATTATTCGTTTGTTTATTTATTTATTGTAGTTTTTCTCTCTCCTCAACTAGCCCCAACCGGAAACGGAAACTATAAATGAGATCGAGACGCTATATCCTGGAATCTTGTCGTTCTTGCACAACTTCATGGTTGAGAATTTTCCAGAAGCAGATATCTGGGAACTTGAAGGTTTCTGATTTGAACTTCCAAAGGGTAAGTGATTGTTTCTGTTATGAAGTTGCAACATATTGGGACCTTTCTTTCCAGAAATAGTTTTGCGCTTTCAACATGCAATGCATAGGGTAATATTTGGGAAACAAAAAAAACTTGTAAAGGATAATTGATAGTCTGTGTTTTGAACTTGCAAAGGATAATTGATAGTTTGTTTTGAAGTTGCAACATTTAACATGTTTTCTCCTTTCTTGTATTGGATTGGTATCACGTACTCAGTATATTGGATTGGTAACTAATATGATGCCTTTTGTCTTATTGAACTCTGGGTAATTTTGATGGTTTCTGTTTCAAACTTGTTTTTAAGTTCGAACATGATGATGATGCTTTCTTCTACTGGATTGGTATCTTTTACATTGGAGCTAGGGTAACTGATACGAGTGCTTGTTTCAAGTAGAAGAATAGTGATTCAATTATTATTATTATTATTATTTTTTGGATGCTAGATTGTCTAATAGTTTCAAAAAGTTCTATGAAACTAAGATACCATTTATTAATATCTTTTATATTTATAACTATAATAAAAATGAGTTGCTGATCTTCCAAATCTTACGTCACCGGGTGAACAGATGAAGATGCAGAGTTTTGACTGACATTTTGAGTTTCATTTAGCTCGTAGCTCTTACTTCAAATAGTTTATTAACATCTTTTATATTTATAACTATAATAAAAAGAAAATGAAAGGAAAACCTTTATATACCACTATATCTACGTCCATACTGCTATTAAAAATAATAAATTTTCTAATTTTTATGTACACTTCAATTCTTTTTTCAAATAATGCAAAAAAAAAAAAAAAAAAAAATTGTTGAAGAGTTAGTTACTTTCTTAATTATAGATCCCTCTTTTATTTTAAAATAATTATTTTCTATATTTTGCATAAAAAAGTTGTGTTTCTAAGTCCCAAAAGCTCTCTCTACCAATTCTTACTACTACTTAGTAAAAAAAAAAACTAAGTGATCAATTTTTAATAAAATTTTAAAACAAGATCCTC